TTTAATTTCTTTTTTTTTTTTCTTCTTTTCTATTTTCTTTTCTTTTTTTTTTTTTGTTCACATTGAAATCTTCGTAAACGGGATACGTTCAAAGGTAAGCTCGTTATCGATTTATTATCCCATGTTTGCACTCGTCAACTGTGTAATATCTGACATTTTTATTTCTTTCATTTTTTCTTTCTTTCTCCTTCTTACTTTTTCATGTTTTTTATTTTCTTCTTTTTCTTTTTTTAAGATTCTTAAAGTAAATATCGTATCGTATTTAAAATTCGTCTCTCTCTCTCTCTGTCTCTTTCTCTCTCTCTCTCTCTCTCTCTCTCTCTGTTTCTTCTATCATTCTCATTTTTAATTTCTTTTTATTTTCTTTTCTTTTTTTTTTTTTTTGAGTTTCTTACAAATTACGTTTTTTCTCCTAATGATTACGTAGATGTTAATTATCGGTAATAAACAGAGCAAAAGTTGACATAACTGAATATAAAAGAAAATTCAAAAATTTGATAATTTTCTTATCATATTTACTCTTATTTTTCTTTGACAAATATACACGTCAAACGTTATTAAAATGTGAATAATTTAATTTTTTTTTTTTTCCTCTAAAGATTCATGTTTTAATGATACATACTGTATACATATATATTCTTATGTAAATACGTTTTTTATATTCGGTTTATTTCATTATACATATTTTATTTTACATTTTTAATATTTATTATATATATATATATATATATATATATTTTTTTTTATATTTTTATATTTGATATACTTTATAAATTATTAAATTTCATATATATATATATATATTTTATATTTTTATATTTGATATACTTTATATATTATTAAATTTCATATATATATATATATATATTTTTATGTTCTTATACTTGATATAATTTATTATATATTTTATATATATATATATATATATATATATAGTTAATAACCTCTCTAATATTATATATATACTATAAATACGGGGTTTTATATTTGATATATAATTTATTATATATTATATATACATTATAAATACGTTTTTATATAATTGATATATTTTATTATATATTATATATAAATTTTTTATATTTTTGTACTTGATTTATTTTAATATATATGTATATATATATATATATATTTTGTACATTTTTATATATTTGATATATTTTATTATTTATTGTAGATACAAATATGTTTTTATATTTGATATAATTCATGATATATTATATATATATATTTTTTTATTTATATTTTATTATAAATCATATATATATTTTTTATATTTTTATATTTGATCTA